AAGCACTGACAGATTGGTATCTGAAATGTTTAGAAAAACTGTACTTCGTCAGTAGTAGTCAATTATGAAATCATAAAGATTTACTTGAAAGTAAAAATTTGGTAGAGTTAAACTGCATGAGAATAAATGTTAATTCACGAGTGCGCATGAGTGGTAATTGTGTGAATTGCTGGCATTTTTTATTTGGAATATCAAATGCCTACATGCTATCTATGCAAGGAGGAAGTGGGAATAGGCTAGTGGCGCCCGGGATCGTATTTACTTATTCAAACAAAAGCTATGGCAGTCATATTTTGATGTCCAATCGCATTAAAGTTTGTACTGAAATTTACATCATAAAAATCCCTAGACAGATTCAAACCAACCAAGAGCAGCCGACACATCCGTGTCGTCTGGTCATATTCTGCACTGTTTGCAACTCAGTCAGTACATTTTAATTTTCTGATAATGGTTTTCTGATAATATTGAAATAAGTCCATTTAAGATACTTAGCGTTATCAACTCACATATGTCTTTATTTGATTTACCTCAAGAACGGGTACTTTATCTTGCTACGGAGACGCTGAGAAAGTATTGTTATCAGCATCGTATCTGACGTGTTTATCACACAGTTATCGATCTATTGATATTGATTTTCGAGGAAAGCAATTATGACGCAAAGTTAAACAATGATAAAACTTTAACAGGGCCATAGAAACTACTTAACTGATAGCAGACGTTAGCGTCTTATTGTAAGTAATGTCACGAGGAGATATTCATATTTTATTTTGAATATGTAATATTACGTTTCTGAAAAATGAAACCGTATGTGGTGTGACGTGGGAAGGTTTTATTTTGTTTATCAACCAGCTGCAACGCGGACATGTTGGCGTGTATCCCATATATTACTATAACATGCTTTACCAATGAATGTATCCAACAATAAAAAATGTTTGCCATAAAATTAATGTTAGTCGGATTTTTCACATAATAACAAACAACATATGCACGTTTATATATGCCAGACGAGAGTTTTATGTTTATTAAAAATGTCACCGGGCGCTTTAAAACAGTTAAATGAAACGTGTAGAAAACTAGTCGAATTGCTTGAAAATTTGAAATGAATAATCTTTTCCAGAGTCGCACAATACATACATACATACATACATACATACATACATACATACATACATACATACATACATACATACATGTACATACATACATACATACATACATACATACATACATACATACATACATACATACATACATACATACATACATACATACATACATACATACATACATACATACATACATACATGGTGAGCTACCCCTTCCCCCCCTCAAAGGGTTTAATTTTCTGGTTGCTTTGTAGGGTAAAATTCCCACCCTACATGACAATGCATTAATGAAGAAACATTTAATTGTTTCTGTTGGTTTTATATGAGATAAAGAATTGATAATACGAAGTTCGGGCCAAAACGTATGTTCGGATCATGTCTCGCCGTTGGCTGTGAACATGTATTTTTCTCTTTTTTTCATAGAAATCGGACAGGATTTGTTTAAGAGATAAAGAACTGTCTGTAATATTTACTTACTGTAAATTTTTGAAGAAGAGATAGCGAAATTGGCGAAATGACAAGAAAAAATCTACCACACTCCTCTTTGATGTTATAATATTTATATTATTTACACAAAAATGAGATTTGATCGTTCAGACGATATTTACGTTCATGTTGATGCAAACGAGTTATAACTTATTATGTTAAAATATGCATTGTTTAATAGTGCTCGGATCTCGCAAAAACTTTAACAAGTGAATTAATCGAGTAAAAGTTTAAAGCTGCATGCGTACGAGCGTACGAGCTTAAATATTTCAAGAAAAACAAACTTGAGAAAAATGTACTAAGATTTAAAAAGAAATAAAGAAATTCATTATTTAAGTAGTAATTTTCTACATGTTATTTGTGATTAATGACTAATTTTGCAGTATTTATCATTACATTTCTATACTGCGCCACTAACGCAGTAAAGTCTTCTTTTTTTCTCATTTTGCTAATTTACATGGATTGTAAGTGCCATGTGTAAATTACTTTCTTTGTTTACTTCATAATATTTTACCTTTTTACTTCATAATATTTTACTTTTACATTCATTGTCAAAATTTTCATGAAAATTAGCATGAATCTGGAGACAAGCTGCTTTAAAAAAGACGATAAAGTTAACATAAAAATACTTGGTTCCCCTAAAATGAACGAAGTTATTTATAAGATTGAAATTATTAACAAACATTTATCCAGGATATATTAAAGGCTGTGATGCGTAAGATTTTCTAACGGCAAACGTTTTTATATTTTGTGTGTATTTTTTTATGATTAAATAGAGTTTTTATTACTCATACTTCGTTTAGATATTACTCAAACATGTGTTTATCTGTGAACAAAAACGATTTGAACTAAAAGCATGAAACTCAAACCAATTCAGTGGGTAAAATCGTTTTTTACAAAACATTCAAAAACTTTTTCTAAAGGAATAATGTCTATTTATTAACCTAACATAGGCAATTTATCGGAGGAATGAACATAGAATGGTCTTAAACTCATTTTGTATGTCTATTTGTTCACGGTTTACATTAAATATCAATAGTTAAAGGTGCAAAATAAAGACTTTTTTAACAAGTCCACCAATCATTTAAACATAACTATATAGGGGCGGAAGTACTGGAGTTTCGAAATCTTAAAACAGTCATAATTTCGTGACTATTGTATTATATAGGACATTAGAAATGCAACCAAATATACATTCGTTAGATGTATTTGCTTTCGGTAATCTTCGATTTGATCTAAGTATCAAGTTTACAAATGGTCAGATCATTTGGGTGTATAATTAAACCTACAGGAGGGCGTTAACTGTCGTCTGATATAAATATTTGGGATAGAAATTCTTCACTTATCGTGTTATAACTTGACATTGATATGATGACTAAAGAGAAATTTAACACTTTTAAACCTAAGAATCTTTAGTTTCCACACCAGAGCAGGTATTTGAGGAACCTGCCTTTACTGATTCCCTAGCTGCTGTCAAGGTCAGGAGGTCAGTGGAAGGTTGCAGGTTTGGGAAATCCAAAATATAAGGTCTTAATGACTTCACACCCGGCCGGAGTTTTTATTAAAACTAATATCTGAAGGAAATAGGGGACAGCGGGGGGGGGGGGGGGATTAGGATAGACAAGTGTGTACAAATCTTTATGCTTAATTTATACTTCTTTATATAATGTTTAATGACACTCGAGTATTTTTGTTGTTTTTTTGTTTGTTTTGTTTTGGTAATACAATAAGTACACAAGTAAGAGTTTATTGTTTTATCTTGTTTGATTAGCTGAAGGAAAGTATACTACTTTCTACCTGTCATGTTTATAAAAAACATTAATTAGACAAGAAGATTGATGAGCGTGCGAATAAAATGTCAAAACAAATAAGTTAGTCGTGCTCGCGCATTTATATAGATCTAAGATGATAGCATAGTACGACACTGTTTTACTCTGTCACTCAGCGAGTTTGTTTTAAGTAATGCAAAAAATCTTCAACTGTTTAAGTTATACATACAGAGATGTTGATGTAAACTTTAAATAATTTAGGTAGATAAAAAAAGGCTTCATACATCGTTACGTATATAATGAAGTATAAATCTCGCCAAATTATCATCTTATACCTGTAAAATACAATGCGCACTGTCAACCTCATTAATTTACATTGTTGTTTTTTGACGAAGCACTTTTTAAAAATCATTTTACATGTACATGTATTCTAATTCGGCGTAAAGCAGTATAGCGACGAAAAACTAACAGAACTATGTCGTCTGCCGTTTTTTTTAAATAATGTTTAAAATGAGCCGCGTCACGACAAAACCAACATAGTGCGTTTGCGACCAGCATAGATCCAGACCAGCCTGCGCATCCGCGCAGTCTGATCAGGATCCATGCTGTTCGCTTACAAACTTTTCAAGTTTCAAGTTTTCAAGTTTTATTGAATATATATCCCAGTTTGCATTACAATACAAAAACATGAGACAAATACATTTGTATAATAATAAATAATAATAAACAGTCACGTGAATATGTGAGGGCAACACTGTATGAATATTTTACATGTAAATATATATTTATTATAATGACCTAATGTAATCTACAAGAAAAAGGAAAGGGAAAAAAATAATCTTCCGAAACTTTATTTGTAGAGAAACTGATAGCGAACAGCATACATCTTGTTCAGACTGCGTGGATGCGCAGGCTGGTCTGGATCAATGCTGGTCGCAAACCCATTATGTTGGTTTTGTCGTGACACGGCTCAAATGTATTTAAGCCACGTTCTTCGTCGTACATATCTATTTATCAACACAATTTTGTCTTAACAAAGACTTGTTAGCCAGGTCTAGAATTTCATCATGTTTATGGGCAATCTTTAAATTTCATAATTCTTCCCTCTATTAATAGGCGTTAACTTTCTCTTACACGAATAATTAATAGTGAAATTTCCAACTGCATTTTTTTGCCGCGTGCGAAATACAGCATACCGAGATAGACAGAATGACATGCTGTTTTTACATATCTATTAACATTTAGAAAGGTTTTGTTCGTTTATTAACAAACCATTAACATTGATTAACCTATTTTATACACGCGTACATAACCAGTAATGTTATCAGTGAAAGCTTGTTGACATTTTAGGGCATATACCTTCAAATGGCCTTGTTTTTAGTACAATACCTGGGTTGTCATTCATATCTTAACGCTGATAAAGTGTTCGTGTTGTTTATGCGTAAATACAGTAGCATTTTTTTTAGAATATAAAAGGAGGAAAAACATAGATTTACATGTCAGTCATTCAATAATTTACGTTTCACAAATCTTTTGTTTTAAAACACACCAACGAATTAAAGGTGTCTGTGGAGCTTTTTTTTGTAGGAAAACGAACTTAGACACAACCATTTTCAACACAACCGTGAAACAAACTTACCTAACAAGGTCTGTGCGGTAGATACTATAATTTCCTGCGAAGTGCCGCTGATATTACCAGGGAGGTCACTCTGGCTATAATCGGGATCTATAGCCCCGGTTTTGCACGAATCCGCTTCCCCTTTGACACATGACATAACATACCACACCCCAATATAAGTATTGAATGTTTTCGTCCCGCTATCCGTAACAATACTTATCCAGAATGGTATAGAAAATCCAACGGCTAGAAACAACGCCGCTAAGCATGTTACCCAGATCCCGGCGACGGCGGTCGTTGACCAAGCCATATCCGACGTTTAAAACTAAGAAAATATATCCTAATCTAAAAAAAGGTACTTCCTTCTTTAAAACGAAAATGTCACTAGCTGTTTTTAAATATATACAGAGTAAAGCTAGTCGAAAGTTTACATAAAATAGCCACTGTCCCTCTGGCCCGTATTAAGAAAGATCTGCTTAGAGTAAGTCCCAGGTTAAAAGTAATTATCTGTCACAAATATGTTGAAATTTCTATTCAACACTACGATCTATATCGGGTTGAACGATAGCGTGGCGAATCAAAATGGTTTAATAATAGCCTACGGTTTACAGAACGACACGACTGAGTGAAGCTTGAAAATGGGGTATACATATCGACGATTTACGTCCTGTATAAAGTTTTACAAAAAATAAGCCGAGATTTGTATTATAGGTAAGACATGCATACATAAATACAGTTATAATTAATGCAAAAGTCGTCTTTCAAGCGCAAGACAATCGTACCTGCCTCTACATTTCACGCGTTTACGACAGTCATGCGCGGCCTTTTTCACGCACAATTTAAATCGTTTATTTTTTTACTTTGCTTTTTTGTAATGCAAATATAAATGTTAATGAAGACTTTGATCATGTCTTTGCATCCTTAAATATTCCTATTTTACCTTCTTAAATATTATTATTTTACAATAAAAGTAATCTAAGCTAAAATGTAGGATAAAGAATTTCACGATTATATAAATATAACATTACTTTTTTCTTTTGGCCAATCGCAAGTTTTCGGCCCTTTCCGTCAAACATAGGATAAAAACTTGGAACATAATTTCTATTGTTTCCGAGACGATTATAGGTAATCGGCCAGGTGTTCCGTATGATGAAAAGTTTTTTTCGACTTGAAATATTAGTTTGAAAAGCAAATCATTCATATTCTGACAGGCAGTTATAAACATTTAATTACATGTATTTATTTTTGTTTAAGATCTCTCCACTTACATTGTTTCACAAAGTGTAGTACACCACGAATTTTCTTAACACTAAACCTGGTGGAACTCATGCAAAGGTATGAGCCTTTTGCCGCCAGTATAAAGCCAGGACCCGTGTTCACAAAGATTTAAGGATCAGGTAGGTCTACATGCACATCTGATTAAAGATTAACTTACTGCTATCCTTATTTATAATTCGGGGTGTGAAATCTTTCACGGCAAAACAATGATAATAAAATCCATGAAAATTGTAAAATGCAATTAGGACGTAAAAGATTCATCAACGCTATCAAGTAATCTTTTTGTATGTAACCTGGAAAACTGAAAGTACGGCTTGTCCGTGCTCTACCTTGTGCCCAGTGTTTTCTTGCCACTGGGTCATGTGGGGGTTGCGTTCATTGAGCTGTTGCTCTTGTTTATCATATTGTATACGCAGGCAAATACCTAAGTTTATTAAGATTTTTATATATCAATATATCAAGTTTAAACATTATATTAAAACAATTATATTTTGTAGTATGATCTACAAATTTATGTGGGAAAATAATCAAGTAAGATAATTGAGGCTTCCTTTCCAGATAATAGTTAAGAAGACACGAGTTGTTCCCCTTTTCATTTAATAGACAGCCCTGATTTATTATAGTTTTCTACCTGATTCGGGTAAGGTCCTAGCTCTGTATCGTATATAATAACCTATTGTCATTAGTATGGAGCAAGGGAAGTACGACAAGGCTCTATACTATTGGTAGCTTTTTTGTAGTGTGATATTGAAATATCTAAAACTATGAATTCGCAAAGCCTTTTAACCTTTTAACATCTGCACTTGCGTTAACATGTAAATAAAGGTAATGCCTTACAACGAGCTATATTACAGAATTTACAAAAATGTTACAGTATTTATTTAACGATCAAATTATAAAGCCCTCTGCTCACTTACAAAATAGAGAAAAACATTATCCCCAACGAACACCCAAAACGATAAAATAGAAAATGTTGCAGGCTCGGTTTGATTGAGCATGTTTAAGAAGATTCATGAACTGTGCTGTCTGGAAAGTGCAAGCTACCCTCCACGTACCCAAGCACCGGCTTAAGCAAAATTCAACATTTAAACATGAAAACGAATGTAGAAACATCCACCCTGTTTCGGGAAACAATAATAATATCAGTTCATTAAACGTGTACGTATACCTTGTGATTGTGTCTCCGCTTTTATATTAAGTGACATTATGCCCATCCAAGGGTATATAGTGAGTGAACTGGTGAAGGTCAAAATATGTTTTTATTTTGCCATAATTCCTTTTAATTTAATAATCAAGCTCACATAAACAATAAATAATGCACAGATCCAAACGAAATTTCTGTAAATATCCATTAGAATTTACCTATAACGCTAAGTTTATAAAAAGAGTGGGGCAGTCTTTTTATATTTAAGCCAGATTTATAATTTTATCCTAAACATTTTCCAATATCAACTGTTGGTCAAACACCATTTTGACAGTCAATCTTTTGAAATATAAAGTCAATTCAGCTCAACTTGACTATGAAAATATGAGCATAATGTCACTTTATCTATTGACTGCCCTTTACACAATATCAAGGATAGCTTATCAGTTTGAAAAGGTCAACCATTGTCCATGTATTGGGCATGTAACAAGAACAAGGGGTCGAACGTATAGCGGTCCGATACTTCTTTAAGCGAGGTGAAACCATGCGATACGGAATAAGGGCGGACAAATTAGTGTAAACACACGTCAGAGTGAGTGTATTTTATTAATTATGTACGAATGCGTTTGTATAGTAATACAAGAGTAACGTCTCTTTAAATTAAAACGCCATTTGCATCTACCTTTTATTACTTATTTTGGTAAGTTAGGTGAGTTAGGTGTAGTAAGATAAGATAAGATAAGATAAGATAAGATAAGATGAGTTTTATTTCAAGTCGGCAAGTTTTCAACAGTACAACATAAGCTCTAGGAGCTTTTATAACCGACTGTATATAACATAAAGTATAAGATTAACAAAGATAAAACAGCTACAATAAAAATTGATTAGACATGATGTATACATAAAATAGTCCTTTTTAGATATTTTTATAAAAATGAATCAGATGCTAAAAACTAAAAATGATTCTACATCACTAGCTTGTATATTAAATTATTCTTACAATGTCTAGTATCTAAAAAAAGTACTTAAAGTTCAATAATAAACCGATTAAACAATTAAAAATTTAATGAATAGTTAAATAAATAAATAAATAAATAAAAATACAAAAAAACGTACACTTTATTTTTTATATATATAATTTAAATATGAAAGACTATGCGTTATCAGACAAAATTTTAATACAAAAAGACAGAAGGGATCATACATGTAAGTCAACAGTTGAACTCATTTAACAGCTAGCTTGAGTCATGCTGGAAAGATAAGCAAAAGAAAAAAAACTAAATGATAATATTAACATAAGCAGAAATCATGCAGGGAAGAAAAGCAAAAACACACTTAAAGCACAAAAAAAATGAGACCAAAAAATAAACAAAAGTGAAGTAAATAAAGAAATAGAAGTTAGCTGCAAGCAATACATTTACACTGTTTACCATTCCAGGATGAAATTAACTTTTTAAATTGAGCAAAATTTGAACATTTTCTAAAATTGTCAGGAAGAGAATTCCATAAAGCAGGTGCAGCATACCTTAAAGATTTTTTTACCAGTAGTTGTAGTTCTTTCTTGCGGGATCTGCAAAAGATTTGAATATTTAAAGTTTATACCAGATGTTTTCTTGACAATAAGGTCAGACAGAACAGTAGTTAAATGTTTTTAACGTCATATTTGTTTATAAATATGTTATATCTGTCGGAAAGGGTCTATTAGTATGTTAAATTTAAAAAGGTAAGTTTAATTTCAATATATCATTAAGTTTAGAGATTATCTTGTACTTTGGGAAGGAGATTATTTAGAATAAGGGGAAGTAATCCAGTAGATGGCGCTTCTCTTATCCATATATAAGCAGGAGAAGACGCATTTTAAATCCGTGGCCGAGTGGTAAAGGTCGCTGACTTGAGATCACAGGTCCCTCACCGCTGTAGGTTTGATCCTCACTCGGGTCGAAATCTTTCATGTGAGGAAGCCATCCAGCTGGCTTAAGGAAGGTCGGTGGTTCTACCCAGGTGCCCGCTCGTGCCTGAATTAATGTCCGGAGGTGCACCTGCGGTCTTCCACAACCAATAAAGCTGGAAAAAAAATCGACGAAAAATCTCGGCGGGACGCTCTAGGATGGCCCGACTTGAGTGTACGGTCCCCCATATGGGCTTTCCGGTGGCGACCTTAAATAAACGCATTAAAAAAATGAAATCACTTTTCGGCTTGGAAAAGGAAGGTAACACTTCAAGCTATCCAGGAAGATAAACTGTCCGCATAGACGTCCTATAAGTAAATTCCTTAAACGCTCAGCTTCTTTGGGAATACAAAGATAGGATATAATTGCTCTAGCTGCTGAACGTCGACTATAGAGATACGTCTTATTTATCATAGAAGCTCAGCTTCTTTGATATTGGATGAACATCAGTTGTATATATTATTTTGGTGAAAATCAGTTTTATATATTATTTTGGTGAGGTGAACGATCACAAATAAATATAGAAGCCCAGCTTCTATAATTATGATGTTGGAAGACTATAAGCTGTAAATATTTTGTGCTTTTCATCAAGTGTTTTTATTTGTTTGGGTCGTCAGACCAAACAAATAATGGTAGCGAAATTTCAGAGCCTAATGTTGTTAATTGCAAATGCCTAAAGTAGTCCACTTTTTTGAAGCGGTTACTTCCCTTTATATGTACACTAACGCCGAAAATTTCAGGGGAGATCAATGCGTAAAGATTGTCAAATGACAGGCGCATTAATTTTCAAGCAAAGTAGTTCCCGAATGGTCGAAGATTTCTAATATTGTTTCATTCTTTATAGATATACATGCTTACAGCAAGCTTCATGATTATTTACATCTGTGTTAAACAACAGGTTTAGCGTCGAAATAATAAGAGTTACAAACCCTAATTTAGAATAATATGGTTTTCTTCAGGCCGTTATCATATAACTTCACCCTCGCTTATGAATCCAGAGGTCTGAAGTTCGAATCCCAGTTGAGGCAAGTCTTTTTTTTTTTAATTTTTTTAAGTCAAATAAACATTGAATTGACTATCAGTGTTGCAATTAGTCTTATAGCCAATTTACTACAGTTAAACAATGAAAAGCATTGGTGGCACTATACAAAAACAAATTGGTTTATAATCTCACAACCTTCACCTTTCTGACATTCTGAGACCCAAACAAATTCAGCGCCTTTGATTGTTATATAGTTATTTTATCGCATGGTTATGAACTTTTCCTTTGTTCTTACTAACCCATTATACTCAGTACACTTCAATGAGCATTTGAAAACTGATTTGAATTGATATATAACAGTACAGTTTTTTCATTGATTCATATAGGAAAAAAACTCGACTGTTATATATCGGTCGAGTTTTTTTTTCGCACCTTGTATATATCAATGTATTTTTTTTTCATAGAGGCTCCAATGGGGCAGTGGTAACGACCATTCCCAGTAGCAAAAACAAAAAAATATAATAATAAAATGGAATCAATTAAATAAATATATAAATACAATGAAAAATATTAACAAAGATAATTATTAATGAAATTAAATTTACTCTCATTTAATCAAAAGGTACATCCGCTGAATGAATTATTTCCACTGAAAAAAAAAAACCTTTAATCTTAAATCAATCTTGGTAACAGTTTACAATCCGCCTCTAACATTGGATGTCTTTTGTATTTTTTTTGCGGCAGCGAAAACAACTTGAAAAAAACTGCCTTATCATAGATAACTGTAATGTAGCTAACGATTTATTTATTTATTTATTTGTTTCTATTACAAAAAAAACCACAACATTATGTCTTGCGATAAAACAGTTATAGTATATGAAACTCGTTAGTTACGGGGGTATAACACTGGCTGGGGCGACATCTCGGGATGTTTTGTTTTAAAACAAATTACACGCAAGTATTATGCTTTATTGACAAAAAACGCACAGTGCGATATCTCAGACAACGCAAACTTCTTTAAAAAAGTGTGCGATTTTTCAAATACAGCACAGTTATGTAAATACACTTGGTTCATGTATAACAATGACCATAGACTGACTGACTATTCAGATAAGGGATAGGTAATGGGTTGCTGGGAATATGGCTTTCAGTTTCGAAAAAGTTGGCTGGTGCATGAACGTGCTTGGTTATAAACCGTCTAATCTTTTTTCCTGCAAGGAGGCACTACTAGCAATATTATCAATTTCAAGTCCCCGAGAAAATAACAATAATCGTTTTTATTGAAATAAATTTAAAAATCCATCTTTTGGCATGACATTAAAAATGGTAAGCGTAATACTAGCGAGTCACAATTATTTACAGCAATGTTTCATGTGTCTGTCTGTGGTCATCCAACCGATCAGTAACATCACCACCATACTTCACATTACAGTATGGGGTTTACAATACTATAATGCGAAAAAACACACAAAAATTAGTCATTGACATGTACCATAAAAAGTAACCGAGGTTCCGAGTGGGGAATTTAATTTATTAAGGGAAGCAAAATATAAATCGAAATTGTATGGCTAATCAAAATTCTCATTTCTGTTTATCAAGCGATAAAACAGTTATAACATATCGAACTCGACTGTTATGTAGAAATATCATGGTCTGGGTCGGCATCTCGGGGTTTCCCTACAGGAAATGTTCTCTGCCTTACGGCCTCGATTGTTTTTGTAGAGAAAAACCCTCGATGTCGCCCCAGGATATGATATTTCAACTGAACAGTCTCGTCGCTTAACTATATCTATAACTAAAAGAAAGAACTTGCTTTTAGATTAAGATTTTTCAGATTTAAACGTCGGATATGGCTTGGTCAACGACCGCCGTCTCCAGGATCATCGTTACGTGTTTAGCGGCGTTGTTTCTAGCTGTTGGATTTTCAATTCCATTCTGGATAAGTATTGTTTTGGATAGCGAGACGAAAACGTTCAATACTTATATTGGGGTGTGGTATGTTATGTCATGTGTCAAAGGGGAAGCTGATTCGTGCAAAACCGGGGCTATAGATCCCGATTATAGCCACAGTGACCTCCTTGGTAAAATCAACGGCACTTCGCAGGAAATTATAGTATCTACCGCACAGACCCTTTTAGGTAAGTTTGTTTCACTGTTGTGTTGTCTTTTGTGCATATAAATGAGAACAATAGATTGTGAAACGTTAATTATTGTACTGCATGTAAATCTTTGTTTTTCCGCCATTTAGCTTTTTTTTAAAAAAAGAAAGCGTTATGATATTGATGACAACTAAAAACATGGCTATTTCAAGGTATATGCCCGAACATTTCAACAAGTTGTAACTGATAACGATTATATAGAAACATTTTACAACGCGTGTATGAAATTCAATATTTTTTTCAAATGTTAATCAGTGTTAATCAGTTAATGGTTTGTTAGTAAAGGAACAAAACTTTTCATACAATATGTGCAATATTTGTATAATATAGGCCCTGTCAGTTGTACACTTGAGTCAGAAGGACTTGAACATATTTTTTTAAATAACACTTTTAATACGGTGATTCTGATTTTCTACACTAACTGTATAAAAACATGTCATTGTTCTTCTATATTACGCACGCGACTAAAAAGTCAGTTGGAAATTTTACTAATAATTATTATTGAAAGAAAAAGTAAACACCTATGAATAGAGGAAAGAATGATCAAATTCATAGATTTCCCATAAACAAGATGAAATTCTAGACCTGACTAACAAGTCTTGGTTAAGACAAAATTTTGTTGATAAATGGATACATGTATATCCAACGAGGTATGTAGCTAATATTTGTTATTATTATTTAAAAACAGACAGGCAACATAGTCTTGTTAATTCTTCGTTTGTTATACTGCTTTACTCTGAATTAGAATATATGTAAAATAATTTTTAAGAAGTGCATCTCTAGAATATGGAAATGTAAATTAATGAGGTTGACAATGCGTATTGTATTTTACAGATATAAGGTGATGATTTGGCGAGATTTATACTTTGCACAACTTGAACTAATTTATGAAAGCCTAATACATGTAGTATCAAACAAAATAAATTTTAGAAATTTAAAGGCATTATAACGCAAATAAAGGCGTAATAACGCGAATCAAAAGGCGTAATTACACGAAACAAAATGGCAAAAAAACGCCAATAAAGGCATAGTTACGCGAAAAAAGTCGTAATAACGCTAATCAATTTACGTTATTACGCGAAACAAAAGGCGTTATAACGCAAATAAAGACAAAGTAATGCAAATAAGGGAGTATTATCGCAAATAAAGTCGTTATTACGCGAATCAAAAGGAATGTTAACGCGAATAAAGGCGCAAATAAAGGCATAAAATCGTTTTTTCCCTCTTTTGCCCATGTTGTAACGGAACCAAAACCATGTGTACAAAGCATAGTCACGCGCTCTTGTTATAGCCCGGTTTTACCTATGCGCAATACATAATAAATGACGATTTGGCCTGTTTGCCAAAGATTATATTGAAATAATTGATTCGAGGGCCCCAATCGTATTGCGACGAGCAGCATTCAAGTAACAATGCCGGAATTACGGCGTACAGACATCGCCGCTAATCTTGGTTGTCGCCCTTTCTAAGAAACGGACAGTTGTCAATGTAAACAAATAAATGTCATTCAGTTTAACCCTCAAATTAACTTACAAAACAAGATAACACAAAAAGAATATGAGAAAATGTTGTTTTATTGATGTTTATATTGATAAAGATTTAAAACTGTCAAGAATAAAACGTCACGTGTATCGTGAAAAGAGGAAGTCGTCGGCGCTAGCATCTCCTTTTTCGCCATTAAAATGCTGATGAAACGGCGGTTACCGTAATACTGGCGCGTGCCAATTATTTACAGCAATGCTTTTCTGTGTCATCCAACCAATCAAGAACACCAACATACTTCTGATTGGCTCATATGGTGTGGGGTTTACAATATCGGTCATTGACACGTTACATAAAAAGTAACCGAGGTGAGGAATTGAATTTATGAAGAGAAACCAAATTGAAATTTTATGATGATTATAATTCTCATTTCAATTTATCATGCGATAAAACAGTTATAATATATCAAACTCGACTATCATGTAAAAATATCATGACCGGGGCGGCATCTTGGGTTTTCTTTACAGACAATGTTCTCGGCCCATAAGACCTTTTTACGACGCTGTCCGTTGCTATGAAAAATCAATCGGAAGTTGTATTTTCCCGCGCATGCGCAATCTACAAAAAGCGCATAGAATAATATAGAAATATAGAAGAGGTTCATAGACAATTCCGAGTTAGTTTAAGGTAAAAGGTAGAAAATTATATAAATTAGCTTTTAAACAAAAATAGAAAAGATTCTTTTATAGCTTTGTGGCCAAGATTGCGAAAAGGAAATTGTTTAAGAATTTCCTCTTACGGTCACGGACCTGACATTGAGATATTTTTTTTTAAGAAAATGTGGAATTATATCTATTATTCAAATTGGAGTCAACTAAATTGTTGTTGAAATAGTTCATAAAAAGATTAAAGAAAATTTTATAACATATGAAATCGAGGTTAGTTATCATTCTGAAAAAAGGCAGAACAGACACGGTGATAATGCATTTTTAGTGTTCAGTTTACCTGATTTTATCCTTTGTTTGTTAAGTCTAATAAATATATTTTAAATAGTTAATTTTTTTTAGATCTGTAAGGAAAGTGAAATAACACACATTTTATCCTATTCCTCGTAACACCTGTTAATATTTTAATGCAAGTCACACTAATTGTCACTTCTCAAAATCAATAAACATTGATGAGATCGGTATTTAAATTACGAGTTTCATAATTGTATATGATTAACTATGTCATGGTACTGAAACGTTCCGGTTGAATGATATTATAGCTGCGTCGCGTGTCAATCTGTTTGACACTTACCGCCTGGCCAATGCAAAAGGAAGTGTACAATACACATTGTGTAATATTATGTATTACAGAGATATTAAAATTTAATCTTTAACACGCTGCTGTTTAAATTTTAATAACAGATGAAAAAGTCGTCTAATGATACCTTAAACAGACGACTTTTGTGTGCGCATTTTGACCATTGGATTATTAGTCCCGCATGTTTAGTACGTTTTAAGTACTTACCGCTTTAAGTCATCCCAAAATTACTGTTTTCCGGTTGACATAACATGGACTCACGACTATTAAAGCCTTAAAGTATCATACACTGTTCTCAATTTTACTGCGCTTTTGCCCTACGCAGAATAGTGAGCCCTGTCATTGTGGTGATCAAACACACCAATGTTACAATTGAACTTTCAGCCAAAACTACGAAACCATAATTGTTTCTATACATTGGCTATTTAATGATTATATGGAAGTGGTCCGTAGTTTTGTAGATGGTTTTCTATATCACTTATGGATCTCTTCAGCACATATGGAGCTCAAATGCAATTTTGAGCAGTGATTCCTTCGTTTGTAGCCAAATCTCAATAAATGTTTTAAATCAGGATCTGTCTGAATGTTTAGCATCGGTCTGTAGAAAGATTTCGTAAAATCTCTGTTTTTTGAGTCCATTTAGTGACAGTTATTTCATTCAAACGGCATGTTTTGGACACACCAGAACCCACGACGGAAAGAATGTCTCGATGAAGACTGCATATAAATCCAAAACAAACATTGGTAATATAGAGAAGAGAAAGGAGGGTAGAATCACGTTTCAATTTTCTTAAAAAAAAGGACTGAATTTTATATAAATGTTTAAAAAGATGAAAACTTTCCCTGCGATTGATCTATTTTAATAGTCACATCTGGTGTTATGCTTCACATCTGGTTCAGCGAATATTCACATATAATTTCAACTGATGCTCATTTTTGAGATACATATGGGGTTCCACCCCGTGCTTAAGCTCGGATTTTATATAAGAAAGTTTTTTAAGAGTCGTGTTGCAGAACAACACTGAAGATTTACATCATTGTTTCTTCTTGTTTGAAATGCTGTGTTTATTTTAATCATATAGCAAATGTAAATATAAAAATGCATTAGATTTTTATAAATGACAACTCATTCTAAAGATTTCATAAGCACAAACAATGTACAATGTTTTTTCTCTCTTTTTTTCATGAAGGAAAAATGTTAACGACTGCAACCATTTATGGACGTGTGTCAGAACGTTTTGAAATTTATCGAGTTATCCCATGTGAACTTCAATTAGTTTTCATTCACCTGTAATCAGTTAAAGATCCTGTAACACAATTTTTTTCATGGTTTTATTTCATAAATATGATGCTCAAATTAAGATTTGTCAATATTGTAAGTTCAAATAAGCATTATTTATAAAGATATTACCCAATTTAACATTTCATGTTAATAAAGGGAGATAATTAGAAATTTATTTTCTATAAATTCTAAGTCAAATTTTCCAATAAGAAATGAATGCATGTAATTAAATGTTTAAATATAATGTGCACAAAATATTTGCAGTACACATTTTACATAATTATGCTTAGATGTTTGAAAATTGTTTTATTTGCATAATTATATACATATATAATTGTTTGCAAGTGTGTTACACACACAAAGCCAGCCCGCATAGCTCAATCGGTTAGAGCGCGAGACTTGTAATCTCGACATTGTGGGTTCGATTCCCGGGCTGGCCAACTAAAATTACTAATCAGTCTTTCGGATGAGACTTTAAATCGAGGTCCCGTGTATGGGTGCTTAAACACTTGGCACGTTAAAGAACCAGGAGAAGCTTCTGGAATTGGGGCATCTTTCTGTATCTGTAATTGCACTATCCTCCAAAAAAATAAAATGACTAATACTCTTCTGGAGGACTCGCCCATATGGGCAACCGGTGGCGAGTATAAATAAACGCAAATACACACACAATTACACACACAGTTCTCACTTCCCCTCGGAGCGTGCACGTCGCTAAGCAGGCACAGGGCATCGGCTAATGATTGTAAGATTCGAGTTATAATCGTTTAAGGCGGCTGTTTCGTTAAGTTAGCTGCCGGTGTCCTGACTAATGCCGAGGGGAGTGGCCCTACAAAGTAGGCTGAGACGACGAGGATGGTGTACTAGGGTGCGTGAGCCCCTAGTACAGATAGACGGCTTGTAAGGCAGGCCTATAGCTGGCACCAACAGCCCTTTTCAGGGCTAAAAACACCTTTCCTATTGTCACAGGTTACTGTACATTTAGGTTCTCATTGACCGCCGTACAGTGACCTACTTTTCGGCTCAAAATTCATATCTTTGGCTAATACTCCGTGGAAATGGCATGGAGGTTAATTATCACCATTTTGTGCTTCAAAATTAACTCTTTAAGGACATGACTGGTGACATGTCCGGGGTCCGTACTCGACAGCGCAAGCTGCATTTTGTGCCCGAAAGGGCGGATGGACCCTCATTAAGCTTTAACTACATACATACTTACACACACAGTCTTCTCATTTCCCCTCGGAGCGTGCGCGTCGCTGAGAAGGCACAGGGCATCGGCGGAAGATTTACAGCTTGGCTGGTAGTTAACTTAAACTGAAGCCTCCGTGAGCGTTATCACGGAACCGCTACTTCGTCAACAACTGCGGACCAGCTGCCGGTGTCCTGACTTATGCCGAGGGGAGTGGCCCTACAAAGTAGGCGCTTGGGTCGACGAGGACGGTGTGCTAGGGTGCATGAGCCCCTAGCACGGTTAGACGGCTTGAACGGCAGGCCTTTTCCTAGCATAAACAGCCATTTTCAGGGCTAACCTTTCCTATTGCCACAGATTACTGTACATTTAGGTTCTCATTGACCGCCGTACAGTGATCTACTTTTAGCTCAAAATTCATATCTTTGGCTAATGCTCTGTGGAAATTGCATGGAGGTAAATTATCACCACTTTGTGCTTCAAAATTAACTCTTTAAGGACATGACTGGTGATATGTCCGGGGTCCGTACTCGACAGCGAAAGCTGCATTATGTGCCCGAAAGAGTGGATGGACCCTCATAAAGCTTTAACTTCATCATCATCATTACACACACAGTAACAGTATCAATCACAAAACATACAGGATCTTTAAGGATAACGTCTTTTACTTTAGTTTATGATTTATTAAATTACTACTATGACGTCATTCCTTTGTTCTGACCGTACCAAAATCATTTAGAATATCCGAGATTCAACACAAATTTAAAAACATTTCATTTTTATTATTTCTTGTAAAAGTCCAAAATGTAAATTGATGTATACTGTATGTGTGTAAGTCCAACATTTTGTGTAACTGGTATATTTTGTGTTTATCATTGTGTTCATGTACATAATTGGTCACATTTCAAAACACGAAAATTTCATGCAACGGACATTTTGTCATTCAAGAGGCTACCTATAGGGTTTTGCAAGTAAGAAAAAGATAATTGCTTAAACATTAATATTGTACATTTCTAGCACAAAAATATATTATTTCTACTTTTCGATAGATAACACGATATTTGATAGTAAAAGTAGTAATTTAAGTAAAATTTAAGCCTCAAACTGACCAATATGTAAATTATTGGATTCCCTTCGGCGCTACGCGCCTCATGAAATTCAATATTTTACATATTGGACAGTTTTCGGCTTATATCTACTACATAAACAGTCGTCCCTTTCGATGGCTAAATAATTCATTGCAAGGTAATTTTCAACGATGCGCGACCACATCTACGAGATTCTATTTTTAGATCGGTGATGCTATCTTCATAATCATCAAAATGGTCATTCACCTTGACATTGCTCCTGCATTACTAACATTGTCTGCCCGAAGCTAGTGTCATAAAAAGTGAAACTAACTACAAGTTTTAATTGTCTCAACAAATTGAAATTTATTTTAAACCCTTGCCTCCGTTGAATGGCTGACAAAATTCTTTAGATGACGATACGGACATAATATAGATGTTTTACAAAACAATTTGCAGTCTTTCAAATAGAATACAAGTCTTTCTTGTACCAGCACCATTATAAAATTTGATTTGAATATTGTATTATTATTCTTTTTTTATATTTCTAAATACTTTATTATATAATTCCAACAGTTTTTCTCCGTTTTTCTTTCTTTTCAAATGTCAGTTATATGACTCTCAAGGAAGTGTTTAAAAATCTATATGAGTAAACTTATATAATAACCATGCAAATGATTACTATTTTATATTTAACACATATTTTTCAGGCAGCGCGGTATGGTGGTGGGTTTTACAGATCGTAACAACCGTTGGTTTAGGATTTGTACTTCTTGCCACTCTGATCCTTATATGTGGTATATGTGCTGGTATACACTCCAAAGGATTCTTCATAATTTCTGGCATCATAGAATTTTTTGGAGGTAAACATTTTTATGCTTATTGAAGTTTTGAAATATGGTACATGCAACAATTTTACCTCGCACAACACCAATAATTTATCTGTCGTAGCTTTTCAATCATGAAGCTTTAGTTTGTTTTCATCAAGAGTCACGTAGTAAAACTATTTTCAATCGAGATATTTGTTGGAAGTTCAAAATGATTATCTACTATCAAATTATGACGAAAAGACTCGAACAGTTGCAATCATGTTGCCATTCAGGTTCTGAAATTTAACCTGTTAAGTGATATCATTTCAATTTCAATCAAGGGTTGTCGCGTTCCTTGTTCCTACGTATTTTGAGGCGCTGTGTGTGTAAATGACTTGGATTTCTGTGTTATAGTTAGTATAGCGACGAGACTCCGTAATTTTTAATAAATTACTTGAAAGAATACAGTCAATTTATAATGGGCAAGATTATTTTGCTAGTTTACCTGTCGGCTATATGGACAACGCCATGTTTGTTCTCGAAATCGAAATTTTATTTGTATTAGTAATATTTAAGAGATAATATATTTATCGCTCAATAAAATCACTGTTTGGAGTTCGTATGAGAGGAATTAAATTTATAATAAATTTATGATAGAATGATGTGCATCCGATCGACAAACAGTAATTTTATCGGGCGATATAGGTCTATATCATGCAATATTAAAATCCCGACTTATATATTTGCCTTATCTTTCAACACAACTTTTATATATTTAAAATGATCCCTTTTTATATTAATTAACAATGACTTAAAAAATTTGTCTTAATAACTCTGTTTACCGCAAATATACTATTGATTCCACCTGTTTGCTCAAATTCCTGTGAGAAATCTTATTCTTTTTGTTTTAAAAAAGGAAGGAATTCGGGGATTGGTCCTTAAGTATAAACTTTTTCAAAAATCAGATCTAATTTTGATTTTTGTTTAATTGTAAGAGTTATTGGACATGATCTTTGTGTATTTTTGTTTTTATCTATTTCAGGGTTACTGGCAATAACTACCTCGATACTGACTGCGATTGGAATCGATCAGTACTTCGACTTCATAGCAGAAGTTAAAATAAATGCCGAAACTTTTCCCTGGTCAGTACTTTGTTTCGGAATCGGGGGATTTTTAGCGATGTTTGGTGCTTTTATTCCGCTGCGAAGCAGCCGAGCCTTATATAATTTTGAATAAGACGCATGATTTACTGCGGAATGACACGATTTATTTTGCGAGTTGTCAATAAAAATGCAACTGCATAAAACATTCACATACGTTAGCTTTACACTTTGGGTTCCTTTATGAATTTCTTGCCTTGTTGCATAACTTTCTTCAAAGGGAAGAACAATGTTTTCTTATCTCCGCGTATACAAATAATGGACTGTACAACTGTCCGATTTCATGTTATGAAGATAGATAACCGGGACTTAATGATAACCAGGTTTACATTAAATAATGTGTAATGTGTAAACACGTTCCCTTCATCAAAAGTATCGTAAAAAACGCATCAGTGTAAGAGCTGTTGCGTAACATCTGAAATTTCCAGTCCATCAAAGTTCATCTTGAAGAAATTTAAATATATTACTTTTTAAAGTTGTGTATTTTTCTTTTGAGATGACTTGGATAGTGCTGTGCTTACAAATTTTTGGCTTCCAAAACTTTAATTCCCTTTTTATTTTGGTTAAATTTGGTAATTAATGTTCCCCTTTAGCTCCATTTTTTTACCTCTGAGCAGATCTAAATAAACATTCGTAAAATTAGATTTTTATTTGGCTATTCTCAAAGTATGCATTGCAAAGGCAGTCATTGAGTAAAACCTTTGGCGACGCTGGTGAACGGTGTTGCGCCTTTTGGTTTTTTAGTCGCATGACAGGAGCTGAAATATTATTAGTTTATGGCATGTTGTGTTACTTAGTTTTATTTTGTTTCTTAAAAATCAAGTATACAAATATTTTGTTTTATTTGTATTAAATAACTTAATTTGAAAAGCATGTGCGTTGTGATATTTATTTTTATGAGATGGCGGGCTAAGGTTAACAGGATATCCCCTTTTTTCGCTTTATTGATAATACTAAAAGCCGGACTGTTGTTGTGGTCTACATTGATTTTTTTTAAATAACTGGTATTTTCATTTTATGTTATAAATGTTAGATTTGATTTTTATGGTCTTCACTGGTTATTCATTTTTGTGAATTATGCATTGTTTATTGTTTTGTTACATAAAAAATGTACGGCTATGTCAAAATTTTGGTCAGCAGTTAAGGTGGTCTGAGAGAATGAGACTTTATTTATATATTTTTTTAATTTTCCTAGGAAACGTTCACCTGCAAATATATATAAAGATTGGAAAAGGAACTGTTGCAGACGATTAGCCTTATGATTTTAAACAACTTATCTGTGAATATACCAGAATTTGTAACAAAAGCTGTACTGCCATTGATTTGATCTTTGTTTTTGATACTGATAGAATTTCCCAGTCAGGAGTACAAAGTATCAATACATGTTTCAGTGACAATTGTACAGTTTTTTGTACAAGAAAACTTTCTAAAATACCTATTGGTTCCCATAACACTGTGAAATTACGTTCGTTGAAAAAAATATAATAAAAATAACTTTCAAGATAGTTTATTGTCATCTAACTGGTGTGTAGTGTTGTTAAATGACAATGTTTCTGTTGCATGCAATAACTTTAAATTTGTATTTATGTCAATTGTTGAAAACATTGTCCCTGTCAATTCCCATTTAACATAGGACCGAGCCATGGATAAATTCTGATATTTTACAATTAATTAATCAATCAATCAGAGACAAATCTTTTAATAGTATTGATAGGATTAACACTGATGAAAATTTTGAAATTTTTAAATATTTGAGAAATAATACTCAAGAAGTCATATGTAATGCAAGAAACGTATTTCTTTGTGGATAGCATTTAACAAAATTAAAATCAGTATAAATCCCTTTGGAAATCTCTAAAGGATTTAGGATTGCCTTCCAAGTAAATGTCTTCATTAGCAAAAGCTAATATTGGCCTAAAAGTACATGAAAATATTTGCTTTGATAAAAATTCCATAGCTGAAATTTTCAATTCTTCTTACACCACTGTTGCAGGTACGCTTGTTGAAAATATACCTGTTGGTAAACATAATTATGATAACGATTTTGTTAACAAATTTTAAGCTGACAGTGGTTATTTAAAACAATTGTTCTTTTTCACTAATTACTGAAAACAAGGTTTACAAATATCTTAACTCCCTTAGTGCAAATAAAGTCATATCCATCTCGTTTTGTCAAAGATGTTGCATCCATTACAGCAAGTCCTTAAACACACGTTGTCAACTTAGCATTGATAGTAGTGACTGATGATATAAATATGGCTAGCACAAGAAAAGTGACAAAACATGTGTTAGTAATTATTGACCTGTTTCAATTTAAAGAACTGTTTTAAAATATTTGAGAGAGTTATAGATGACCGAGTTGAGTCTTTTTTTTTGAAAAGGGGTTTGTTTTATCAGTTTCAGTCAGGCTTTAGAAGTGGTTTTTCAACTGACATATGTTTGATTCATTAACAGACTATATTAGATTTGAAATGGACAAAGGCAATATTGTAGGCATGAAAATTTAGATCTACAAAAGGCATTTGATACAGCTGACCACACCATACTGCACATGAAACTTCAAGCATCTAACATAGTTAATGACATCCATACTTGGTTCAATTATTTTGTCACTGGTAGACAGCAGCTGGTCGATGTGGCTTGTACTCATTCTACTACTGCTCCCATTACCTGTAGTGTCCCCTAGGTGTCCAATCTAGGTCCTCTTTTGTTTGTAATATATGTCATGACGCGTCTGCAATCATAAGCAATAAGATTTTGTTATATGCTGATGACTCAGGTATTCTTGTATCTGGTAAAAATAAAAGTGAAGTTGAAGAAATAATCTCTTATGACATGAGTATTATCAGTGTTTGGTTAATTGACAATAAATTGTCTTTGCATCTTGGTAAGACGGAGACTATTCTTTTGGGGTCCAAGTTTAAACTTAAACAGGGTCCTAACCTCCAGGATACATGTTATGGTACTGATATAAAGCCCACATCTTCTGTTAAGTATTAAGGTGCAACTCTTGATCAAAATCTATCTTTTGAGGCCATTGCACAAAGAATTCTTCAATAGGCAAATGCCAAATAAGTTTCTTCATACAAAGAAGGGATTATTTTACCCAACATACTAAAACATTAATGGTTATGTCTTTTTTGACTATACATGTTCGACCAGGGCTAACACAGGTTTTGCAATAGTAAGCTCCAAACAACACAGAATAAGTTAATGAGATTTATACTTAATCTAAAAAATAGATCCAATATTGGTGCAGAACATTCAAAATACGAAATTGGTTGCCTGTGTGGAATCATCCTTTTGAAAACTTGGCTTAGCCCCAGCCTACTTGAGTGATAACTTTATTCCTCAAGATACTGTGCATAGTTTTACCACACGGATTTGTAAAATGGGGGTATATTCAACTTTCTTAAGTTAGAGGGTTTTGATTAAAATCATTTTCATACATAGGTTGTTCACTGTGGAACAATTTACCAGCCAGAATTGCCCACATTATACATCTGCCTGCTTTTAAACTTGCTGTCAAATGTATCTTTGAGATAAATTGATTTAAACCATATTTTGTGACTATTTCAGTAAGTTTTATGATACATTTTGCATGTGTCTTTTATAAAATAAAGCTTATATAACTTAAAAGAATTTATGTCTTAACAATTAGATAGAGTTTGAGAGTAACTTATATACTTATCAAAAGCATATATGCTTTACTATCTGTGATAAAAATGTTTTGTTTTCTTTATTGCTATAATAGGATTAGATCTAGTCTACTGTGGATTGTATATACACTGTATATGGTAGTATCAACATAAAACAAAGTATATGTGATACATTTATTGTGTGATACTATTCTTTGTGATATTTTCTGTGATATTTTTCATTGCGTCTCTATGTCATGGCATCAACACCTAGTGACAGCAATAAAAATAAGGGTTAAACCCTTTTTTGTGTTATCCCTTGTGTTGGTGTGCATGTCATGGTTGGTTTTTATGTACGTGTTTGTGTCTTCATGTGTTATATTACAATGTATGTTCATTATGGCAAAATAAATCTTATCTTAGGTTTGGAATGAAGAAAAATAAAATGGATTATTAAACACAACATTATATGAGCCGCGTCACAAAAAAACCATCATAGTGCGTTTGCGACCAGCATGGATCCAGACCAGCCTGCGCATCCGTGCAGTCTGATCAGGATCCATGCTGTTCGCTTACCAACTCTATTACAAGTAAAATGGTTTCCTGCGGGGAACATTTTCAATGATATAAAGATATTTCATTTAACTATTTTCAACATTGTTTGGGGGGGGGGATAAATAAACGTTTGCATCAGGAATATAGTTGACAATAATCGATCAATATAGAGGAAGGTCTTTGGTGATGGTGACCGTTGAAGACCGGAGAAGGTCGAACATAAAACAATTATTTATTTTAAGAAAATTATTAAATAGGCCTACCATTTTATGAATAATTCCGAGCAAAAAAAAAGTAAACACACAAGTTTACGCATAAAATATCTCTATTTATTAGATGCCACTACGTATATTTTAATCTTGTAGATTTTCAGTATAAACAATTTGTTTGTAAAATTTGAGATAGATATTAAAGAAACATTGATAATTTTCAAACACATCATTCAAGTTTTTCCACCTTAAACGGTAAATAATTATAGAAAATTAGAAATATCACGTTTTGTTCTTAATGAGGTGCAATTCGGACTAATTCCCTAGAGGTAAATCCGTAACGTACGGGCAAACGGTATTTAGCTAGGCTTTCGAAAAGGTCAATTAACCAATCATGTACGGTTTACAGATCACATGCTCCTCCATGTACCGAAAACAGGTCACGTGCTCCTCCATGCCTCAAAAGTTAAACGCGTACCAATACCCTGCGGTCTCCAGACCGCAGGGAACAAGTAGAGAAACTGATAGTGAACAGCATGGATCCTGATCAGACTGCGCGGATGCGCAGGCTGGTCTGGGTCCATGCTGGTCGCAAACGCACTATGTTGGTTTTGTCGTGACGCGGCTCATATCTATTGCACCTTTTTTAGTCTTTCTCTGTTTTTGAACACATGTTGTCTGAAAAAATTAAATGTAGTGATGATTTTGACCAAGAAGCCTTGGTTGATATATCATTCAATGATACTGACAAATAATGATCGCTGCTGTAATATATTTAATTACTAGTTCATGGGGTCAATGTCACAGAGGTCAAATATAGCTAGGATCTTTTGGCTTGCAGTTAAAATATGTCGGTGTTTTGATTATTGTCTTACCTTGATTTGTATGTTTATTTTTAATTTTTTTCAAAATTAAAAAGCCTTTATAAAATTTAAGAATTTCTTTTTTAAGTATTGTTTTTACTTTTCCTCACCTTTGAACAACATAAAGGAAGTTTACTTTCAGTAATATGTGTAGTTTTATATGGAATAAATGTATAAGAAAATGATTTGTGTGTTTGTTATTGATTGCTATAAGAAACTTATATCGCTCCATAAAACACTTTTAGAGTACACAGGTGCCGGGGGTTCTTAAAGACATTTTCCGGAGTTTTCATATAGATATATAGGCAAAATTAAAACTTTTACTGTTATCATATTCTAACAAGATGCCAAGTTTAAAGAAATTCTATATAACAGTTTTAATTTTGCCTATATATCTATATGAAAACTCCCGAAAACGTCCTTAAAGGAATAGGAATGGATGGATTGATGTTTGTCTAATATAAATATTCATCATTAAAAAAGAGGTACCATGACAGTTTTTTTGTTGACATCAACCTTTTAAGTGAGAAATTCGTGTTTTAAGACACTATTTTTTACTTGAGAAATAAGTTCATGGGCGCCGCCATTTTGGCGTTCTGTCATTCTCGCGAGACAGACGAGACCGAGATTGTGACGTGTTATACCCACTTCCGGTATAGGTGAACACGCTGGTACAACTGAAATATATCTTGACGAAGAACTTATTAATTTTATTGCGCACATTATTTATTATTTATGAAAACATCATATGGAACTGAATTGCTTTAATTAATTAATTGAAGACGCCGCGGCATTAATTATCATTTGTCCGATTTTCAAGCTTGCTGATGATCCCACCACATGATTTAAGCAATGACTGCTTAGTTTTCAAAGATAAACCATCAATTTAATTTGGGTACTTTGAGAAACTTCTTCAAATTGAGGGTATATCCTTTTATTTGGTATTTAATTTTCGCTAGACAAGCTGTCTGAATAGGGTACATCGCCAGTCATGTATCTTTTTCTCAGCGGTAAATATCAACTAAATCCAATATGCAGATATTTCCTGAGGACGCGATTTTCCGACATTGACGCTAAAATTAAAATGGCGCAGGAAAATCGGCAGCTAGACTAATATCGTATGAAAACAAAACTGTCCGTTAGGTTATTTAGGCACCCAGTCAAAACTGGTACCAACAGCAACAGGTTGCCCATTCCCCTATAATTACGCATATTCTAGGGTTTATCCAGTTCCCTAAAGCTTTTTTCTTCGTTATCTACTTACCAAATTCCTTTCCCCGACAGATACGCATTTCTACTACCGTAAATTTAATCCAATAAAACAAAAAATCATAAATCTACTTAATATTCAAAATGATAATTGGTAACTGAAAAAATGTGTTGCTTTTGTATGAAATGCTGTAATTTACAGTATAACTTGACAGGTGCGGAACTTAATTTCCCCTAAGGTCATTCAGTTCACTGATGAAGCGTAAAAAAAATGTCTATTTCGTCATAAGAATATTTGACAAGGGTGATTAACCAATCAGGGCAACATTGTGCATGATCAAAAGGTCTGTCGGCACAGAGGCGTACAAGGAGCAATAAAAATCGTTAGTACACAGTGTGACAGGAACATTTGGTGCAAATTAGGAACAATTAAAATGGATAATGCACAGTATTAGTCATAAGTAGTAAGAACCAGCAATTGTGTGAATAAATTATGCAAATGAGATTTTTGAGCAGCCAATAAAAATGTTTTGCATGCAGTTAATATTAGGCTACGATTACGATTTAAATAAATACCACGAAGCATCATACGTTGACAGACATGTAAACAATTTAGTTCTCAAAAGAGTTGCTCAGACTCAATCAAACCGAGTCTGCAATTCTTGTGTTATTTTGTTGTGATTAATGCTTCCGAGGGATCACTTTGTTTCCAGAATTTGCTTATATTTTTGAAATGTGTACATCACTACTAACATATGTTCACACCTTTTAATTTGAAAATCAGAATCAAACTGCAAAAATTTAATTACATGTACTATTAAGAACACGTTTAAGTAGGATTTAAATAATAATGATAATGATCGCCGTTCAATAATTAACAGCCAATTATTCGTTGGTGCGTTTGTTTATTTAACTACATTGTTTGATTGTGAAACTTTGTTAAATAATAACATGTGTATTTATTAACTCTGTGAAATATTGTTTAATTACATTAAGATGAGACTTTAATGAACATAGCATTGTTTGGAGTAACGGGCATCACTGGCCTGAAGTGTTGCGACCGGTAGACGTTGATTTTTTATTTGTTTCTTTATTTTTTTTATTTTTTGATATTGTTACGTATTTTGAACAATAAAAAAATCGCCTCTACACCTCCTGTGAAAATTAAATTGTCTGGTCAATACTTTATTATGTAAATATTTCGCTACGATTCAACTAGATTTATAATAAATCTAAAGATGTGGGGAAATGACATCACGCGCACCTGTTTTTATACGGCCAATACACAAACATGGCCGCGCCTAATGATTTGTAGAAATCGGCGATTAAGCGATTTAAATTTCGTTATCATGTGTTTAATATTATTATTTGGCGGCAGAAAATTTGCAGATTTATTATTTATAGTATTCGTTTTCTGAAATCAAGTTTTTATTCTAACCTTGTTTTTCCCTTTAAACAAACTGATTTACTATTACTATCACAACAAAATGGCTCAGTCTTAATTCTTCATTTCTTCATCGTGCATCTGATATTCTAACGATTTCTTAGAATTAAAACATATTTTACCTTCAAGTACAAAAAAAATCAACAACAACAACAACAAACCCAGAACGATTGGGAGCATTTGCAGACGCGCGATGCCTACATATCCTTTAAGTCTTATCTCAATCGGTACTGTTCATTAGACTGCAATTCAATTTTTGTGCCAGTCCGTCCGTTCACTCGTCCATCCGTCCATCTGTCCGTCCGTTCTCATTTTGTGTCGCACGAAGCTTAAAAAGTATTTGACATAGAGTCATGAAACTTTTCAGGCATGTGTAGTTGTGCACATGGGTATTTGCAGTTATTGCCCTTGACTTAGACAATACATGCAATTTTCTACTTGTGTCGAACATAGCTCAAAAAGTATTTGACCTAAAGCATTGAAACTTTACAGGAACGTTGCTCAACATGTGATGTTTTGCATCTGGGGTTTTGCTTTGACTTAACAAAAAAATGCAATTTTCAACTTGTGTCGCACATAACTGAAAAAGTATTTAACCTAGGATTATGAAACTTTACAGGAATGTTGATCAGCACATATAATTGTACACCTGGGTTTCGCTTGTGGATTTATTCTATTTTGTTAGAATTACCGCCCTTGACTAAGTAAACATTTGCAATTTTCAATTTGTTCATGCATAGCTTAAAAATATTTGAACTGTGGGCCTGAAAGTTTACACTAATGTTGGTCAGCATGTGTACTTATGCACCTTTGCTTTTGCTTTTGGATTTATTCAGTATTTGTAAAGTTCTTGCTCTTTACTTAGTAAAACATTATTAGTTTCAACTTGTAACATGTGTAGCACAAAAATATTTGACCTAGAGTAGTAAGATTGACAAATCAGTGGAGTGTAGGGACACCCGTGTGCTATAAACAAATTTCTAGTTGTCTATCCAAAGGTACTATTCAAAACTGAAGTGCAAAGCCGTTGTCATTTACAGCCTAAAGTTTAAGGTTAAATTTGATTTTGTAAAGATGAAGTGAACACCCACACTAATTAGTGTACAATAGTTTATATTTTTCATTGCCGCCTTTTCATGTTATATACTAGAATGTTGTCATAAACAAGTTATATAATTGAGGATTACTTTTCGATAAATAAGCATTCTCGAGTTATTTCCCCTTTTCCTATGACACAAATAGGAACATTTCATTTGATTTGATTTTATTAAATTATCTGGACTGCAATTTTGACTTGTGAACAAATGACTTTTGATAAATTTTGCCGCGCGCAAAATGGTGTCCATCTTCAAAAAAACCAGTCGGCTAAGAACGAAGCCATCCGATTACGCTGGTTCCCAAACTGTCCACGCAAATAACCGCCCGAATTATTTGAATTTATAAGTCAAAAGTCATAAGTCACAACTTTCAATTACAGTCAAGGGCTTCCATAACTTTCTTTTCTTGATTAAAACTTTGTTTAAAAAAACATAGTAAAAGGAACTAGGGGAACTACGCGGGGTGCGTAGCGAGATTTAAAAAAAGGCGGTGGCGCAGGGCGAAATTTAATAAATAAATAAAACTTCACTCCCCCCCCCCCAGCCCGCGATAATTAACGTGTTTTTGCTCCGCGCCCCGAACTTTAACGTTAAATCTCGACTTTTCGCTTGCCGGGGTCGCGGGTCAAAAACACGCTTATTAGCGGGGCGCAGGACGAAGCTTTATTTATTAAACTTCGCCTCGCGCTCCCGCTAATAAGCGTGTTTTCGCTCCGCGTCCCCGCCATTTTAACTTGTTGATTCTCGACTTTTCGCTTGGCGGGGTCGCGGGGCGAAAACACGAATGGCACAAATCAGCCACCATACATACATGGAAGACATCAGGTGCCTTTCATAGCATTATATGAGGCATAAGCTATACGAGTTCTCGTGGTTTAAGATAATATTCACCGAAACACCAACGTTGTATTGCAAATCATGTTTTACTTGGCGTTAAGACGCTTAATGACGTTGTAATAACTGCAGATCTTGTACCATGTGTGGTTATCATAATGTGCTGTTCATTCGAGTATGCTTATTCTAGTTTCGCTGCTCCTTAAATATTTCTTTTGTCAGTCCGTGATATATGGTAAAATTTCCTCTTGTAAAGTATTCCCGACGCTGAAAAAGGACACCGACTTTACAACTTGACTGATTGACTAAGGTGCTCATTCGTGGCTCGTTATTCAGACTCGTTGGGGCACCTGAGTAGATTTGTAGAACCACCGACCTTTCTTAACCTAGCAGGACAGTTTTCTCACATGGAAGAATCCGAATTCCCTGACGCAACTCTAATCCCAGAAGCTAGGAGCAAATGGTTTTAACCACACGGCCTCGGAAGTCCCTCATAGTCTTGGCTTTTACTATGATTTGAATAGGCATTCTGCACTTAATAATGTACATGCATTTTTATTATTTTACAAAAATCTTTATTCTTAAATCAACA